AGAACTCTAGGTATTTGAGTACATTGAGGTTGTGCACTAATGCAGTCACCACTACTCACATAATTTACACCAGACCACATAGTTTTGTCCCGAAGGACCACATAGTTTTGTCCTGAAGGACCACATAGAACCCTCGACTCTTGGCATGCCAACTATACCTCTAATTCTCATACATATACTTTGAGCTTTAACCATTTAAGTATTGCACATAGTATTATTTAAATTATCAATTATTCACATATACATATAATATTTCACATAACATTACTCAAATTTATCATTTATTCACATAAATCAATTACTCATAGCATTTCCTATAGTATTTATTCACATAGAACATATACGCATAGTATTTCATATAACAATATTCAATTTATCATTTATTCCCATAGAACATTTTCACATATATCATATACTTATAATATTTCACATAGAATATATATTTTCATAGCACTGAAATCAAAACAGTGTGCTTAAAATACTATTTAGCTAAAACCAAAACATAATACAAATGATTTGGTTCAAAAACATTTGAGGTTGGCTCATCACAAGCCGTCCTCCAATCGTGTATAAAATGAGTAAGTAGCACTCACCTTTGCCTCACTACACTTTAATGCTATTTTCACTGTACTCTCGAACTTAATCATTTTCCTTTAGTTCGCTTTGTATTTGGTTTCCAATCTCAATCTACACAACATCAATTTCTCGACATATCCAATTTCGAATACGAATTAGTAATTTAATTAATACAATAAACTTGAAAGGGCAGGAAGTAACAACAAACTCAACTTAAGCACTTACAAAACCTTAGAAATTCTAATTATATTCTCACATGCTGCGTCTATCACTAATACTGAACACCCTTGGAAACATTAATGATCTAACCATCATTTTGAATTTGAAAACACTATGACAACCATTCCAGTAAACCCATATTGCGGCATGCATTGATAAAATTGAAACTATAACCATTCATTAATTCAATTTACACTTACAATCCAACTTATATTTTTTTCCTCTTTCATATTATTTCAGCTCACCATTTCCAATCTAATTCAAGTCAAAACCGAACAAATTTAACCCATTTCTCAATACATCCTTCAATGGCTGAATGCTTCACTCTCAATTTCCAATGATTTCAATCCAATTTTATACTTGTTTATAATTCTCCAACACTTCTAACATCTATTTATTACTTTAATTCAATGAATTTCAATGAATTCAAGCCTCCCCTTCATCCACCAAAAATACCCATTTCACATTCAAGCATGAATCAATGAGATATTTATACCAAGTTGTAGAAAATTTAATGGGGATTATTTTCTCATTTCACACTTTAATCCAAAATCCTAATAAATTGGACCAAAATTGAAGAAAACAAAAACCAAACTTACATTGGCTATGGTGACTTACGGCAGAATGGAGAATATGAGCTAATACTTCTTGAAAGTTCTCACAAAATATCTCTTTATAAACCTAATTTAAAATGAATTAAAAATTTATTTTAACCCAAAAATCAAATTTACCCTTAATGAATCCTATTTTTTATCACCATGCCATCCTTTTATCTCTATTTTAAAATTATTAAATAGTTATAAAATTCTCATATCTCAAATTTTCTTTTGGACTCTCTAATTTTCAAAAATTTCATTTTAGTCACTAAATTGCATTATCTCAATTTATAGTACAATTCTCACCAAATTACATCGATCCAGACTAAATTTCACTGTTTAAAAATATCAATATAATTTTTCCAACCCAAATATGCCTTCCTTGAAATTTTAATAAACTCCTGATTCAATCCGGTTATTCAAATAATATATTTATCTTTATCCTTTATTTAAACTTCAGATCAAAATTCTAAACCCACTAACATAATTGTCTTGGGGCTAGATTAATAATTTACAAATCCAAGATTTAACTTTTGAAAATTTACATTTTTAGTCTTTAAACTTTTACAACATTACACTTTAGTCTCCAAATTTCAAAATTTACATTCCAATCACCAGTCCAAAATTTGGGATATTACAAGTGGATCCTTGATTCTGGGTGTACCTATCACATGTGTCCTAACCGCAGTTGGTTTGTAACCTATGAAGCTATGTCAACAAGTATTGTACTGATGGGTAATAATGCATCTTGTAAGATTGCAGGAATTAGCAGTGTAAAAGTCAAGATCATGATGGAATTGTCAGAACCCTGAGTGATGTTCATCACGTCCCAGATTTTCTAATTTCGTTACGTACTCTAGATTCAAAAGGGTATAAATTCTACATTGAAGGTGGAGCTATGAAAATTTGCAAGGACTCTCTTGTTGTGTTGAAAGTGCAGAGAAAAACTACCAAGTTGTATGGTCTACAGGGTTCAACAGTTTTAGATAATGTAGTTGGTGTTTCATCCATCGTGTCAAATAACGTTGTTAAACAAAATAACCGTGGTTAGAACGGTTATGTGAAGCAGAAAAGAGTTCAGTTTCATGAACATAATGAATTTGAAGATAGATCTATCATTGATGATCAAGATCATGTTGTGCATGATATTGCTCGTGGTGAAACATTTGTGAACAAAGTTGGCATTTATGATAACCATGTCGATGTGAAGACTAAATCCAAGCCTAGAAAAAGCTTGGATTCGGTCAGTGTTCATTATTGAATATTACCCCCTTTGAGGGGTGTTGTTGAAGAGGAGGTGAACTTGTTCGTTGAAGTGAATAATAGTTTTTGTTGAGTTTGAGTATCACATCGAATTTGAGTGTTTTGTCTAGAAACATTTGCACTTTCAGAATTCGTGTCAAGGTAGAGATATGTTAGAGTTTGACTTGAATTTAAAGTGGCACAAATAAGTTAATATATAAATATTGGGAAAGTAGGAAACCCATTTTGATTAAAAGTAGAAAAATTTATTAAAGTAAATTTCTACTTTATTTAGTTTTCATTTGTAATCAAGTATCTATCGCTATAAATAGATACTAAGGGTCAGAGTTAGAAATCAAGTTTTTCTTTCACTAAAATCCTCTTGTATTTTCTTCCTTCATATCAGTGAAATTCTTCTCCTCTACCCATGGTTTTTCCCTTTTGTCTTTTCCATGTAAATCCTGGTGTTCTTTGTTTTTCCTTTTCGATTGTATTTATTTGTTTGCCAATAATTATCATTCCGATATTATAACAAACCATTTCCGTTTGAATCTGCATTGGCATACAAGTGTGGTGTGGCTGTAGTTTCCCCGAGTGAGATAACTTGCGAGGTTTCAGGGAGAAGTTGTGTAGGAATCGCTTCAGCCACTGATTGTAGAATACATTGATGATGTTGGCAGTCCGTGGATCTTTGGGCAGGCCTGCTGTATCAGAACCGAGACTGTATCCTCTCTCAACTGTGTCGGCTTCCAACGGCAATTCGTTCAATGTCTATTCAAAAATAAATAAACAAATCCAATAAATGTTTGGCTCATGGCCTCTTTAGCAAACAGATTATAAGTCTAGCGATTATTCTAATGATCATGATATCATGACAAGCAGTGAAAAGAACCCTCCCTCAATGCCTGTTGGAGAACTCGGAGTGTTTCTCGAGTACGTTTTCTCTCAGAAGCAAGTTCATCAGGTTCTTGTAACATTTCATCAAACAGGTTTTCTCTGTTATGGATCATTAAGACATGCGGAACGATCAAAGGTGAACAAAGAGATTATCGAAAGAATAAATAATTGAAATCATGTCAAATGGAAGAAAGCTCTATATCACCTGTAAAGCTCTTAGATAAAGACACTGTGCAGTTCGCATTTCGTATGGTTTACCTGGATATTGGTATTATCAACAGAGATCAATACTCATGTATTGCTTCAGCTTAGCAATGCAATGTTACACCACAAACTTTCGTTGGAAAAAAATAACGAGGGGCCTCTACGGTTATTACTTGCAAAATTACACAAGTGTTATAAGTTCGAAAATCATGTAATTCATAAACCATGTAATTCATCACTGTTCTAATATAAACTAAAATAAGTCAACCACACACAAAAATAGCAGTATCCTTGTTCAACTTCGATAGACAACATCCACCAAATATTGTTTAGGGCAAGACACAGGTGCTGAAATTGATTTGAGGTGAAAATTTGATACTGAAAATCAGAGGGGCATATATATGTTATGGAATACCTGTCTATACCGAATTGCAAATACAGAACTGACAAAATATTATCAAATATGTTGGTCTCCAATTCTGCCACCCGCCATACGCTGAAATTCCATTATGATCCAATTCTGACCGAAAATATATACCAAGTCATTCTAGATACAATTTTTAAATATTGAATCATTCGTTGTGCAATCACTTACCTCCATCACTTCTAGTTATTTATCATTCAATGAATGACTGAAAAACGATTCACGGATTGTTTAAGTCAATACACAGATACTAAACTGATATAAGGCGAAATATTGAACTTGACTTGAAGGATTTACAATCTCCTCACTAGAACATCATAATGCTTTTCAGGATTTCACGGTTATCAGGATCTTGGCCGTGAACATGGATAAATAGGAAAAAGACACATGGAAAACTAGCAAATATACTCATACCTAGAAGTTCATTAGTCACAGAGTCCTCTATTTTCTATCTAACATGTCATAATATGATCTTAAGAGAAGTTTGGTGATAGCAATTTAAATGCTTCAGTTTCTGAACGGTCTTCTGAAGACCTCAATACAGTTAGGGGCCGAAAAAAAAGCTTGTCAAGATCAAATTAGCAATTTAAAAAAAAAAATGCACTAGATTATCTGATATGTACTATGTAGGTACCTCATTAAGATGGATCATGGAAAAGGAATGTTCCGTAGTATGACGACGTTCACGCTAAAAAAGAAAAAAAAATATGCTTGTCAAGATCAAATTAGTAATTTAAAAAAATGCACTAGATCCTTGATGGATTTATCTGATATGCAGGCACCTCGTTCAGATGGATCATGGAAAAGGAATGTTCAGACAAATGAAGGGGGGAAATACTGGAAAGGAAGAAAGGAATATGTCTGGCAGCAGAAACACAAATTTTCATGCCTGATCATTCACAATTCCATTAACTTGTCTTGCAAGAAAGGCCCGAGATTCGATAGTTCTTTCAGAATTAGGTACCTTGTCAGGCTCTGAATCATCCTGAGTAAATCATCAAGGAAATTCAGAAAAAAATGAGAAGAGGAATTTGGATTAAAAAATTAGCAATTATACCATAAAAATGTCCATAAAGAGAGACCTACCTTTGGTCGAATAGGTAAAGAAACCCCGGAATTCTTTATCTGCTGATTGGCAAGTTCTACAACCTTGATCCCACCAATAAATTTGGGTGGGAAGTATTTATGTAATCCATCTGCAAAATTGAATGGAAAATATCAGAAATCACTACAGATCTTTGAAAAGAACATATGAATGTTACAAGCATCTCACTCAACTGTACCAACAAGATTAGGAATAGAAACATATAATAATACAAAATTAAAATTGATAGACATACCTCCATTTCAACAATATGTCCTATCATTGTCTCAGATGGTTTGAGGCCTTCTTGGAGAAAGTTCCCAATAACTTGGTCCATATGCCTTCTCAGAACAGGAAACAGCTGCAGTTCATTCACCGTACAGCGATGGCTAATCTGGAAAGAGAATAATTCTATTAGAAAATCTAGATTGTAGAATAATTCTATTAGAAAATCTAGATTGTCAAGTGATAGAGCAGTGAGACTATAATAATAATCTTGAAGATAAAATAACCTTTATTGACTCATTGTATATGAACCTTGCACATTGAATACTTGGATCTAGCAAACTTGCTATTTGCCATGGAACGAGTACTTCAAATGGAACCTATACATAAGAATTAAAATCATAACAATATGCAGCGAGATTAACATGAAATAATCCCAGGCAACACTTTGGAAAACTGCAATGTACATCTGTATACAAACAAAAGTCCTAGATTAGAATTTTGAATTAGAAGACACAGGAATCTACTTATGGTACAAATAGTGAAGATCGAGGACCAGTTGCATTCTGAATGGCAGTTCGAATGTCATCCTCAGTCAAATCTTCACACGGATCAACCTCCTGTAAAAGCAAATTAGTTAAGGAGTTTGTTTGTTTCCTTGTAATTGGAAAATAGATAGTCAATGTAATTGGAAATATTTTTTTGAAAACGTATAATATATAGCTTTTAGAAAACGTTTTTGAAAGTATATAATATATAGTTTTTAATAATCAGTTTTTGAAAATATATAATAATGTTTTGAAAATACGTTTTTGAAAACATATATTATATAGTTTTGAAAACACATTTTTGAAAACGTATATAATATAATTTTGAAAACATATTTTGAAAATATGTACATATAGTTTTAAAAAAAATGATTTTTTGGAAACATATATAATATATAATTTTTGAAAACATATTATTTTTGAAAATATAATATTATATAGTTTTTAATATATATTATTTATATTATTTATTATTTTATTTATATTATTATTTAATTTATTTAATTTCATTTTTTTACAGGTTTAAAAGGTTCAAGGTCCAAATCAAAGTCCAGGTCCAACAAAGGTATAGGGGGCCCAACTGGGTAGCCTGACCCAGCAAAACCCAGAAAGGCCCAACTAAAATGGAGCGAGCCCAACAGTCCGAAGCCCAAGCCGCCTGATCCAGTGAGTTAGGGTTTTTTCATAAGCTAAAGGCATCGCAACACCAAAGCCACAGGATCGGTCAAGGGATCAATGACCCAAATTGAAAAGTAGTAAGGGTTATAAAACCCTAGGAAGCATATACCAACGCGCATCGCCAACCACAAGGTCGAGGGCCATGCAACAACCGACCGAGATTTTCAGCCACAAAGCAACCAACGCCGAAGGAAAAATAGAAAAATCAGCCATGCAAAAGAATCAGGCCAGATTCGGAACTATACCATCCAAAATCTCGGCAATAGCCCCAATAACCTGAATAAATCGGGAACGAGGAGAACGTCCCCCGAAGTAGTCGAAAACAGCCTCGACGGGGACTCTATAAAAACCTAACAGCTGAGACAACAAGGACAACGAAAAGCATCGAAGCACCAAACCAAGCAAATCAAAAACCCAAATAACATTCGGCCAAGAGAAACCGAAAGCAACCATAAAGCCAAAAAAAAGCAAATAGCATTAAAAATAACTAAATAAATCAAAAGGGGGTGAGAAGGATGTCGATTTAGGCTCGGATAAGGCAACAGTCGTTGGAAAGCTCGTCATAAAAGGTAAAGTCAAAATGTTTTTTGTTAGATCTATTCTGTTTGAGGTGTATTTCGGGTAGTTAGGCTTCGGTTTTGGGTTCGGGGAGTGGAGAAGAAGCTTTTGAGGTAGGCATAGGGTTTTTTTTACCACCATCATCGTTGGCCGGAGTGGCAGTCCACGCGGTGGGGCTCCATCAGTAGGTGGCTGGCTCGTCGCCGGTTGGGGAGAGCTTAAAGAGAGTTTGGAGAGAAGGGAGAGGTTTGATTTTGAGAGAAATGTTTGAAATATTATTTTTTTGTGATTTAGGGAGTATATATATGGAGGGCCTTTATGTAAATACAAAAATTTTAAATTATTTTCGCAGTCCCTGCAGTTTTGATGCATAATTCATTTTGGTCACCTGATGTAAATTTGCCTTTGAATTTCAAATTTATTCAATTTAATCCCAATTTATATTTTATAGTTATGTAATTTGACCCCCTAACTTCTTATTTTCTTCTTGCAGTCTTTAGTTACTTCTAATTTGATCATTAATCTTTAATTCTTTTCAAAATGGTTTTTTTTTTCAAATTTCCTTTTAATTTTATTTTTTATTTAACATTAATTTGATTTATTTTATTTTTCAATGGTAAGTAATTTTCAATTTAACTTACAATTTTCACAATTAAGACAACCTGAAAATTAAAATTGGTACCGAAAGGGCAATGCAAGGGTGTTAATCCTTCATTGACTGTAACTAACTCTCGAACCCAACATATTTATGGTAAAACGCAGATCAGGTAAGATGATCGATTGAGGTGTCCGATCAACCTAATTTTAAAAATAAAATGATCAGTAGCAGCTCTAACATGTTTAAATTAAGTCGAAGCCTAATTATGGGCCCACCTGAAGAACGATTACGACAGCTTGGCGACTCTGCTGGGGACAAGTAAGTGAGTCAGGCTAACATTAATTTCCGGTTGTCTTCTTAAGCGAAAATTACAAGTTTAAATTTTAATTTATTTATTCGATCCTTATTATTTATCTTTGATTATTTTTAAAATAAATAGTTGTATTGACGTTTTTTTTTATGATTTTAGTTTTTTTTATAAAAAAATCATCTCAGACTCTATACCCGGGCTCCAAACACTTTTATAAATGGAGGTGATAGCGATGCCTTCGTGGGAATTTATTCTCTGTAGAGGCCTAGCAAGTAACCTTCGGGATTCATATACCTTATGTCTTCTTGTGAATTTATTCTCCGTACAAACATAAGGGAATGTGTCCTCTCGAGTTTAACTCGGTCCACATAAGCTTGTAATGGGCTTAGTACTGAGGGTCTGGCAAGCCCAATAGGGCACCAACAAGGAAAACTCGGGTACCTTTTTAGAACCTAATCCGGGAGACTGTAAGGATTAGAGCCCACCCCAAAACATCATTTCAAAACCTAGATTGTGTGAATTTCCTATTTTATTTTATGTCCAAAGCATACGAACTAGAAAAATATGTGGTTATGACTTGCTAAAAAATTAACATGCGGGATAGAAATCATGTCCGGGTAAGAATAAAAGCATGTGGGGGTAGATATCATGTGGGGTAAGAATATTTTCATTATTATTTTGCTTATTATTTTATCTTACTAACTTGTTTCCATTTCATTTTTGTTTTCTTTTATTTTATCATTTGCATCATATTAAAGAGGTGTTGATCCGCAAAGAGTATTTGTTAAACACAAATAATTTGTACTAATGGACAAAGGCGTTGTAATGAAAGAGGTGAAAAATACAGAGATTCAAATATGGTCAGAAAAGACTCAGAAGGAAAAGGGAGACAATCTACAAGGCAATTATGTGTCAGATCTGGTTAGTTATGATTCTGTCAGCCTTAACCAAAACAATGTTCAAGAACTGCGGAGCATTTAGGACAACTAGGAAAGTGATCAGAAACAGAAATTCTGCAAGCGGTATGGTGATATCGCGCTCCTACTCTATGTCAAGATAGACGAGTCCCTAATTCAAACCTTAGTACAATTCTAAAATCCGGGGTATAGTTGTTTCACATTTAATCAAGAAGACATGGTACCCACAATCGAAGAGTATACCACTTTACTACATTATGAAGGAATCATAATGGACCAAGTCTACACCAAGCACATCAATAGTCAACCTTTCAAACATGGGTTGGAAAAAGTTACAGGGGGTAGATGAGAAGTGGGTAACTGACCAGATTCAGCACAAGGGTAAAAGAGAGGGAATTGCTTGGACCCATATCAAACAATTAATAAAGAATCATCCAGATGGATGGAAGGTGATAGACCTATTTATACTAGGTCTCTGTGGCTTGGTTATCTTCCCAAAAACTTTGGGATACATCGAGGCAGTTGTGGTGGAATTGTTCGAACAACTCCTAAAGCGAGTGAATCCGACACAGACAATATTAGCTGAAACTTTTCGTTCACTCAACCATTGCAGAAAAACTATCAGAGGAAGATTTATAGGGTGTACAGAACTCCTTCAGGTCTGGATCTATAGTTACTTCTGGAAAATTGACGGGATTTCTTACCGCCAATTCAGCACCACTTACTCTACTTTGGGGGAATTCCTTGCACAGAAGTGGCAAGAACGCATCCCAAAAGAGAAATGGGTGAAAGTATTCACGCACCTTCAGGATAAGGACATTATCTAGAGAGCCCATTGGTTAACCCATAGTGACATCCTTTTTGGCGTGGAGACTCAGAAACCATAACGTTACTTGGATTATGGGGAGGAGTCGTATATTCTTCACTTTTGGCACTTCGACAGTATGGGGCACATCACTTTGTCCCAACTACACATGGAATATTTGGATCGGAATTCGCATACAATGAGGATAACTATAAGAAGAGGGTCAAAGATGTAGTTGAGTCATGAAAGAAGATGTTCCATATGGATGTCGTGGCTGCTAAAGACATGGTTACTCTATACTATTTGGAATGGCGGAAGTCAAGAAAGAATGACACCATTCCCATGCTAGATCATGAAGATACTCGAACCATGGAAGATCATCTTAAACTAGTTCCCTCCAAATTGGAGATAACAAAGAAAAAATTTGAAGCTGAAAAGGAAGAGCTGAAACAAAGGCTAAGGGAACTCGAGGCGAAAAGATTCCAGTGGAAGTTAGATGTTGATACTCAGAAGGATCGGGCAAACAAATTAGAAAAAGAATAGAAGAAAGTCTGCTTCGAGTTGGAAGATTTGATAAAGGGGTATCAAGAGCAAGTTCAGAACAATTCCAGTTTGAAAAGATCTTCCGAATACTGGAAAGGTGAATCCACCAGCCTAAAATCGAAGTTTGAAGGACAAGACTTCCCAAAGACGTTTGATAGACAACCAACACCAGAACAAACGTCTAAAGACTAAGATAACTGATATGGAGAAGTTTCTTTAAAGACAACTAGAACAGGATGGCAAAACCATATATGAGCTAGAGGTCATTATGGACAAGTTTAAGAAACAAGCAAGTGAGCTTCAGATAGTTCCCTTTGATAGAGGATTTCAATGGTGTTTTCATTGGAAGCAAGCTCAAAAAAGAGTAAAAGTCAGAGATATGGTCATTCGAGAGTTCTTAGAACAAGTATAGAAAGAGGCACATCACTTTCACGGTTTGACGAGAGAAGCCAGAGTGGTTTGACAAGGTATTCAACCGGTGATAGATGAATGAAGAAGACTTGTCAACCTATTAGAAGTCATTTGGGGTTTAAAGGACTTAGTCAGAATGCACTTTTAAGATGTTTTTGTCTATTAAGAAATAACATTTTTATCCCAATAAAGATTATTTATAATAACATACACATTTTTGGATCAATGC